CCCCTAATAAAATGTTAAAAAAAAAAGAGTTAAGAAGGGGAAATGGAAAGGGGAAACACAGGGAGGAAGTGGGATAAGTGAGGGGATTGCAAGGAATGAGCTGGAACTAATGATCTGCTCTGTAACCCTTCACCTAATTCACAATACGAAGTTAGAAAAGAAAAGAGAACAACCCTTTGTTCTTTGACCATCTGGGCATTGTCCTTTGGCTTCTTGGTGAAAGCCCGTTGGCCCTGGACTTCAGCTGTTATCTGCCGGACCCATTGGAACGGCAACTACACTCCTTAGGCTTTGGATAGCTGCATTCTCTGAGACTATCTGAGTGGTAAACTTACTCCCTCAGCCCCTCTGAGGCCTTTTGCTTTTGCCCCTTGGGCATGGCAACCTTCCCTTTGCAGTGTGGGGGCCTGGCACACCTGGATGGTAGCTGTATGCTCTAGAACCAAGTGGGGGGCTTGAAATCCAGGAGGCTGCAGCCCCACCTTTGGAGCCCTCTTTGAGAAGGAGACCCTGCTTTTTTGTTGTTGTTGTTGCTGCTTCTACTAAACAATTTTCATGAACTCTGAGCTGCTCCAAAGTGGTTCTTTACTGGGAGGACAACAGGTAATGTCTTTGGCCTGTTTCCTGTGTGTAGAGTTCTTAGAGGCAGACAGTATCTCTCCATCCTTTGTCCCCTTCGGTCTACGCTGATGGGTCTGTTCTTCGATCTTGGGCTGGATTACCCAGTAAGTAAGGCAAGTATGTGCTGACCTGCGCTTAGTTTACGGCGTACTCTATCCCTGCCAGGGACGGTACATTTGAAAAGAGACTTCCATTCTTTATGATGGGACTGCGGAGTTGGGAGAGACGTGGCCAGCCGTGCCTAGAAGCAGAACCTGTGATGTGGCGAAACATGGAATTGTTCACTACAGGGGAGTAGGTAAGCACAAGTAAACTGTGCTTTCCTTGCGTGTTGGGTAATCGGACACTTTACAGGCTCGATCTCTTTAACAAAAAAATTGCGTAACTACATCCGTGGTGAATAATCTAGGATATGTGTCCTTAATTTGTCCAACAGAATTTTCCAAATCTTTTAATTCTGTTCTTATTTGCAAAGTTCATTTTTAAGTCCATCTCTCCCCTCTCGCATTTTTCTATAAGCAGCGGAAGAAGCATCACAGCCCTTTTGAAATTCTGCTTAGAAATCTCCTCGGCTAAATACCCAAGTTCTACTTTTTACCAAGCATTTGAATGCAATTCAGCCAAGTTCTTTGTGCTTGCAGAAAAGCAGCATTGTTTGAGCTGCGTGTGAGCCTCCAGATAACACGCCGAAGCACCTGAGACAAACTCTCCATGACGTCCCTTCTAACGCACGTTCCCGCTACGCTTCCTCCACCACAGACGGATTTGTTGTCCATATGCCGCCGCCAGCCTTCACCAGCCCCATCACCCAAAGGCTCGGATTCTTCTTCCATCAATCACGTGAAGTGACAGAAAATGCCATGGCTGGGGACAGGTCTACCTCAGTCCTCTCAGTGAAAGCTTGCCTTTTTAAGCCTCAAAAAGACGTTGTGCAGCAGATTTGCCCGATGCAATATGCTGCGAGGTGCTGTTCGCTCCAAGGTAAGCGAAGAGCCTTGACAGCGGGAACCTTGTCCCCGTGGATCACGCTGCCTTTATCGGTCCAGGTGTGAGGGCGTTTGTTTCCTTTAAGGTGTCATCCATACTGAAGGCTTTTTTGGGGGGGCTCTGAAATCTTCCTTAGTATATGCTTTTAGTCGTCTTTTCTTTTTCAACAAGCAAGGTTGTGTCGTCTACACATCACAGGTTGTTAATGAATCGTCCTCCACTCCTGATAGTGCATTTTCTTTCATATACTCGAGCTTCCTGAATTATTTGTTCAGCATACAGATTCCATAAATATGGTGAAAGGATATAACCCAATGTGTACCTTTCTAATTTTAAGCCATTAAGTACTCTCTTGGTCTGTTTTGAATGTCTGCTCCTGGTCTATGCTATGTACAGGTTCCGCACGGGCACAACGAAGTGTCTGGAATTCCCATTCTTCTCAAGGTGATCCACAGTCTGTTATGATCCACGCAGCAAAATGGCTTTGCAATAAAACGTAAGTGAACCTGGTAACACTATGGATTAAAGATGGGGTTATTAACTGTAAGGTTAGCAGTTTAAACCCACTCTATTGAAGCTCTAGACCTGTAGGGGTTAAGAGATGGGATGTTAATTGCACGGTCAGCAGTTCAAAACTCTGAGCCGCTTTGCAGGAGAAAATGAGGCTTTTTACTACCGCACAGCATTACAGACTCAGAAACCCACAGTGGCAGCTCTCGTCTGTTCGCCAGGGTTGCTGTGAGTCAGAAATGACTTGATGGCTGTGAATTTGGGTTTTTCAGATACAGGAGAAAGATGAGACTGCTTGCTCCCATCAGGACTTACAGTCTCAGAAACTCTACAGCGCAGTTCTGTGCTGTTCTGTAGAGGGTCACTTTGGGCCAGAGTCAGTGGCAGTGAATTTGGTTTGGGGTTTTGGATAGTTATCCTTCTGGTATCTTTGCTTTGGGCCAAAATCCATCTGGCATTAGCATGATAGCCCTCCTTGCATGTCCTCTTCTGAATCTGGCTTGAATGGGTGTGGTCAGTGAAACTCCCATGTGTATCATGAAGTCTGCACATTTTCAAAATCAGGTAGTTCTGCTTCTTTTTAAAAAGAACTTTAGCTTACATTTCTCACCTTGCATTTTACGCAAGCAACAAAAAGCCAGGTGTCACCTCCAACATTCTGCATGGAACTCCATTAGATTTTCCACTTCTTTGGGTACACTCCTCTACTCTCCATATTGATGCAGGTGACAGGATGGTCAAACCTGTCAGGGCATAACAAGGATCTCCTCCCCTCCGGTTTCCAATAAGCTTTTCCACTCTCCTTGAAACAGACTTCCTAAAGACCATCTAGCTTCTACTAACAGTCTGGTTGAGCAACTTTCAGCTTTAACTAACACTCTGCTCAAAATCCTTCCATCTTCTATCTCTTACCCAGTTCCATTCTTTAGATATTTGTTAAGGCAGACTCCATGGTTATTACATAAATCTGCATGAGTCACATTTTACTTCATAACATATGCCCTCTGTGGTAGTTACATTATCTGGTAATAATTTGAGACTATTAAGAGTGAAGGGGTGGAGTCTAGCCTGTCAATCAGGTAGCAGCTTAATGACCTTATTAGGAGCTATGGAGATAAATAGCTCAGTGGAAGCCACACCCACTCTCTCTGCTAGACATTCCTAGACATGGAGCTATGCTGATGTAGCCAGAGCCCTAGAGCTGGAGGAGCTATGTGGAGACCCATGCAACCACTGAGTTGCTTCCACCACCATTGGATCCACAGACTTTCCAACCACTGGCCTGTGATCTTCCTGCATTTGGTGTCATTGCATGCTTTGTGTGAGTCTGAAGAGGAATTTATAGACTGGTATAGGACATATGAGCTAATATTGGACTTATGGACTTGATCAGGACTGGACTGGGATGTTTTCTTAATGTACAATTATTTTGATATAAAGTGCTTTCTCATACACATCTGAGTCTCCCTAGACTTGTTTCTCTAGTCTACCTGGACTAACACTACCTCCAAAGTGAGTAAACAGTAAAGATTATTTCAGGCTTTCTCCGGTTTAGGATTTCATGAGTGACTTAACTAGGGTGGGCGGATCCACTTCCAATGTGGCTCCTTCACATGGTTGTTGGCAAGAGCCTTCAATTCTTTGGCTGTTGATTGAAGCTCTCAGTTTCTCAACATATAGATCTCTTCACAGGTTTGGGAGTGTGGCCTTTTGATAAAAGAGAAACTGGGAACTTCTCTCTGTCTTCCCCTTCCCCTTTCTGTTGGCTGGGACTCTGTGTCTGCTGCCAGGGGCCGCCTCCTGTGGGCCACCTGACTCTGAGAGCTGTCAGCGCCCTGCCGTGTTTCCACTGACCTTGGAGCTGCATGACTCTGCACCGCTGGCCAGTAGTGGTCCTGCATCCCGCTTCCCCTTTCTGCATGTCGGCCTGCAGTTATGTGAATCTCAAGAGGATTCTGCTAGCATCAGACCCGCAGGCTTAAGGTGGACCGGGCTGGGATGCCTTTTTGATATAAGATTGCTTCTTGAGAGAGAGCTCTTTCATAGACATATATGAGTGTCACGGTGTGTTTCTCTAGACAACCCAGCTTAACACACTTTGGAGGTCACATGCCATCACTTCATCCACAGTCTACTTATTAGCAAGCAAGTTACTAAGGACAGCCCGTGGTGACGGGGAGAGGACGTAAGCTCTACCTGTTGAAGGGAAGACTGTTGAAGACTAACCGTCACACTGTCTGTTAAGCTGAACAAAACGAGATGCCAGCTATAGAAAACATTGCACCCACATTGCTTCTCCTTCAATGATCTACCTTCCTTTGTTCTCTGTGGAAGAGTTTTTAAATTGTAGGTTCTGACCCACAGGTAGGCCATGAAACCAGTTCCTTGGGCTGTGACGAACATTTAAAACTAGAATAGGGGTACTGTACTACACTACAGTAAGGCCAAGTAATCTTTAGCGAAATAGTTGTTTAAAAAACAGGATTCAGAACAGATAAACCCCTCAGGACCAATGGGGGAGCAGCGATTACTAGGAGAGTGGCGGTGTGGGGGAGAGTTGAGGGGAACCGATCACAATGATCAGCATGTGGCCCCTATCCCAGGGGAACAGACAGCAGAAGGGTGGGTGAAATGGGACAGCAGTCAGTGTAAAACATGAAAAATTAAAAAGAATTTATAGATTGTTAGGGGAGCATGGGGGAGGGATGGGGGGACAGGGGGGAAAAGGAGGAGCTGATGCCAGGGGCTCAAGTAGAAAGAAAATGTTTTGAAAAAGATGATGACAACATATGTAAAGATGTACAGTATTTGACAAAATGGATATATGTAAGGATTGTGATAAGAGCCCCAAGTAAATAAAAACAAAACAGTGTGTGTGCACAAGCACATGCACATACATGCTAGGTAGCATCATAAAATGTGTCTATTCCAAGCTGTTTTCATAAAATAAGAAGTCTGAGAACTTCCCAACACTAGTGGAGAAGCAGCCGAGGGAAAGGAGGGTTTTGTAGTGTTATGGGTTCGAATAAATGACAGCCACTATGATGTCTTGAAATTAGAAGAGTCTCTATTCAGAGAGTGGGCTACTGAGAAACTAAAGAGGTTTCCCTATGGGTTTCCAAGACTGTAACTGCTTTCTGGAATAGAATGGCCAGTCTTTCTTCTGAGGAGCAACTAGTGGTTTTGAACTGCTGCCCATGTGAACCACAGCCCAACATGGACCCACTAAACTACCAGGGCTCCTGGAGACAGGCTGTTCTACTCTGTCACTGTGAGTCAGAAGCACAGATTTAGGATGAAGTGGTTATGAAGGGGGCCCTGGAAGAGTTAACCCCGATTCTTTATGATAAAAATATAACAGAGCTCAGAAGCATCATAGCTAAGAGAATCATATAGTTTGTTGAGACATAGCTAGAAATCTTCTATAGCTGAGACCTTAAGCTGAACAAACCCTCTAACTTGTCTCTCAGAATTTCCTGTGTGTCCATGTATGAATTCACAAGGATACCAAGTTAAAGACCCAATTATTGTCTGAGTGTTATGAACCTTTCCCACTCGTTCTTTCCCCTGCTCCTTAAGAGCCAGCACCGCCACGCCTGGCCTGTCCCCTTGAGTCTTTAGTAATGCAAGCTCTGTAATATGCAATCTTTGTTCAAATGAAACTTTGTTTTCCCAATCTGTGCCTGTCACGCCAAAATTTGTCTGTCTTAAAATAGCAACAACCTACATGTTTATCTTGGAGAACAAAGAAATGGAGAGAGAAGGGTATTGGAGGAAGGATCCCCCCTCCTCCTTTCCCAGGCAGGTCAATGAACACTTAGAATCTTTTGAATGCACCTGATTTCTGTAAGTTGACGACTATGATCGTGTAATACGGGCCCCTTTTGTGTTCACCCTGCAACCTACTGTCAACCAAGAGATGGAACAATTACTAGAGCCTGCCAGTGAGTCGAGAAATCCTACTGGGTGACACTTGTCTTTCCAGCCAGAAGGTCCCAGGCTTGGACTAGGGAAGCCAAGGACAGGAGCCCAGAAGACGAGAGTTCCTTGCCCGGTCACCTTCACCCAGAAGCTGAGATTCCAAGCCTCTGGTCTGGCCGCCCTTTTGAGTAAGTGCACTTTCTGTACGCACACCTCTGTATATGCAAAGGCCCCAAATCTGTCGCCACGGTAGGGTTGAATCTGTTTAAGACATCTCATTGGATCTGTCCATTTGAGAACTGAAACAAGTCAGTCATTCTAGTCTCTTGGGCTAATCTAATGCTGTGGTAGAAGAATCTTTCATGTGTGGGCTGACGGCTGTAGGGCTGCCAATTCGTTCATGATTGTGCCATGTGAGAGAGACCTTCCACCTGCGGGCTAGATTACTGTAAGCCATCTGTTTTAGGACCGGTTTCTTTCATCTGATTGGTTGACCCTCCTGCAGTCTGGAGTTTGGTTACTGAGAAACTAGCTGTCAGCATCTCCAGCAGCAACCTGGCTGAAAGCTTACCTACAGGCTTGGCTGGGATTTACCTTTGACTTGGTGTCTTTTTGTTAGGGTACGGGGACCCCTTTTCGGGGTGGATCCCTATGCTTCTGGCTTCTCAAAAGGAAAGGAGCGGTGGCTTGGCAACAACAGGGACAAACAAGCAGGGAGGTGGAGGCAGCACGGCAGGGCAGTGTTACTGAGCAGGAAAGTAGTCAGGGTCCACTGGGGACAGGCCCCCAGTGGGCCTACACCACCCAAAGGGAGCTTACAGGCCCTTTTATATGTCTGCCAGGGGTCATTCAGCTCAAGGCAGAAGTTTTGTTTTGTTTTTTAAAACATTTTATTAGGGGCTCATACAACTGTTATCCCAATCCATACACACATCAATTGTGTAAAACATTTTCTCTCCATTTAAACCCCCGACATTAGGTCCTCATTTTTCCCCTCCCTCCCCGATCCCCCCTCCCACATGAGCCCTTGATAGTTTATAAATGGGTATTTTGTCATATCTTGCCCTGTCCGACGTCTCCCTTCATCCACTTTTCGGTTGTCTGTCCCCCAGGGAGGAGGTCACACACAGTTCCATGTAATCGGTTCCCTCTTTCCTACCCATTCTCCCTTTACCCTCCCTGTTTTGCCAGTCACACCACTGGTCCTATAGGGCTCATCCGTCCTGGATTCCCTGTATTTTCAATTCCTATCTGTACCAGTGTACCTCCTCTGGTCTAGCCAGTCTTGCAAGATAGAATTCGAGTCATGGTAGTGGGAGCGGGGAGGAAACCTTTAGGAACTAGAGGAAGATTGTATTTCTCATCATTGTTACATCGCACCCTGACTGGCTCATCTCCTCTCCGAGACCCCTCTGCAAGGGGATCTCCAGTGGCCTACTAATGTGCTTTGGATCTCCACTCCGCACTCCCCCCATCATTCACTATGGTAAGATTTTTTGTTCTGATGATGCCTTACACCTGATCCCTTCGACACCTCGTGGTTGCATAGGCTGGGGTGCTTCTTCCATGTGGGCTTTGTTGCTTCTAAGCTAGATGGCCGCTTGTTTACCTTCAAGCTTTTAAGACCCCAGACGCTATAGCTTTTGATAGCCGGGCACCATCAGCTTTCTTCACCACATTTGCTTATGCACCCATTTGTCTTCAGTGATCCGTTCGACACCCCGTGATCACACAGGTTGATATGTTGTTCCATGTGGGCTTTGTTGCTTCTGAGCTAGATGGCCGCTTGTTTACCTTCAAGCTTTTAAGACCCCAGACGCTATAGCTTTTGATAGCCGGGCACCATCAGCTTTCTTCACCACATTTGCTTATAAGGCAGAAGTTTTTAATTTAAGAACAAACCCCCACCCCCACCCCACCCCCGCCCCTCCAAAAGAAAACGGTAGTGGTCTCTCCTTGGCTGTGACCCAATCCTGTCTCATTTGGCAAGGTCCTGGTGGTCAGGCTCTTTGGCAAGGTCCTGGTGGTCAGGCTCTTTGGCAAGGTCCTGGTGGTCAGGCTCCCGCCCTCGGACCTCCCGGTTTCTAGTATGTGATGACTCATCAGAGCAGTCAGGCGTCTTTTTCTGTCCTTCATTTTAGCTGAAATGGGCGGGTGTGTTGAACTGAAAAAGCTTTCCTGTCTTTGTATTAGAGCTGAAATTCTGCACACCCCAGTTTGCACAAGGCTGTGGATGTCAGTGACAGCCCCAAACCCATGTGCAGGGTCCCCACATATTTTGTGCACTAAGTGTTCAGTGACTCCTCCCTCCGAAGTGGGGAAGCCAAGTCCCTGTTTGCTGTCTGTTCTTAGTCTGGACGCTCCGCTGAAACCCGTGCACTTTGGGTGACCCTGCTGGCATTTTGAATACCAGGGACATAGCTTCCAGCGTCGCAGCAACACCTCAGCCACTACAGTGTGACAAACTGACAGACGCATTTGAATTGTGCTGCTGGTGAAGACTGTTGAGAATATTGAAAGTACCATGAACTGCTAAATGGACAAACCCAGCTGTTTTGGAAGTAGTGTGGCCAGTGTGCTCCTTCGAGGCAAGGCTGCTGAGACGTCACCAGGGGAGACCAGGAACATTTGTGAGGACAGCAGCCTAGGACTGGGCAGTGTGTTTTCTGTTGCTCACAGGGTCAGTATTGGTCCAAACCGACTAAGCCCAAGCAACAATCCAATACAGTAAGCCTTCTCTGTGGAATGCTTTCTGATCTTCAGCTAAGCATGCAGGTAATCTTGCCTGCAGGCAGATTGCGCTCCAGAGAGGGGATTGCCTCCACTCTTCTCCAGCCGGCCCACGGAAGGGCAGTCTCAGGTGCTTGCCTCGGTGTGCCCTGGACTGTCACTAGGGCCAGTGCAGGGGCCACATAGTCAAGTCATGCCCTATCATTCTTGACCTGACCATTCTGGTCTGAAGGCCCAGGGCCAAACTTGTAAGCCCTTGTTTCTAACAATGTGAACATCCAAATGATGGGCTCGCTCCAATTTCTGTAGTCCCACCTGTCACTGTGAGGTAT